CTAATATCCAAGAAGGCAACAAACAATTAAAACAAACCAAACATGATTTTCGATGATTTGTCATAGTACCATATCAATTTGTATTGTATATGTGTTTTTGCCTTAGAATGTACGTAAACTTTTATGTTTCGCTTTTATGGTTAGGCTCACATTCACATCTATTATATACGCTGTATAATTAATATAAATTGATGATATTTTTTTGTTCTATTTGCGATTGATAAATTGAAAAGAATTTGTTGTTTAAATTTGGTTAGTTATATAAGTTATATGTTTTGTATTTATTATATAAACGTAAAAATATTGGTCAATAGAAATGATGTATTAATGGATTTTTCCGTTTGACTAACTTGCTTTATTCATATTTTAAATAAACATAGATTGAAACTAAACATGTATTCATGGTTAAAGACAAACGATTTGAACAGGTTTTAATAAATCACAAAGATGACCAAACTTACCATAAATGGCCAGATCCTATTCGTTCAATCACCCCAACGGCTAGTTTCTGATCAATACAACATCAATGAGGCGCCATTCACTTCCCTTAAATAGCCTCTACGAATCCCCTTTAAAGCTCCATCACCAACAACTCTTTTTCATTTGATTTTTGCATCATTTTGTTTCCTTTTCTAGCTTAGTTACCGTTAGCACTTTGAGCTTATAAAAGCTCAAGTTCTCATTGTAGGATACCTTTCAATCAATTTAATCAAAGTATTTTGTTTTCTTTCAAAGTGTTTCTTTGCAAAGAGTGTTCTTTTCTTTAGACTTAAGTGTGTGATTCACTTAGCGCTATAGAAGTTGCGGGATTAGTTTGTTTTTGCGATTCAAACAATCTATTTCATTCACCGATTGAGAGAGTCAATCACCACGGATTGAGAGAGTCAATCAAACCATCACTTATCATCAACATCATCTCTACGTACCTTCTTTCCATCTTTCGCAAATTATTAAGATTTGAATCTTTGATCATTGAGTGATCTTAAGTTGCAGTAATTCCAATCATATATCATTTGGTATCAGAGTTCAAAGCTCCTATCTAATCCAGGTTGTATTAATCCAACC